CCATATAGTTATTTCATTATAGAAAATAATGAAATAACTATAAATAACTATTCTAATAATTAATAAATACAGTATTTTTATTATGTATAGAATTGGTTATGTTTTTATACATTTATAGATTAATTCACTATACAAACATCTGTTCATATTAAAAATGATTTCAAAAACAAAACTAAATATTTACATTTAGTTTTGTTTCTATCCAATCATTATAGATATGAGTTTTCTTGGTTGTTGTAAAGCTTCAGAAGATTATAACTCTAAATTAGGCAGTTCTCTTCTAACTACTCAAAAAATGTTCTTTGACAATTGTTATTGGTATTCTCTTGAGAATGATCAAACTAATAGACACCAATAAAAAAATTCTATTGGTGTATATGCTATTGGTCTCTGAAAGCAAATAAATTTTATAATCAAGTTTTATTAAAATGACTATAATAACTAAAATATTTATAGATTGGCAAAATAGAAGTTTTAAAGTAGTAGTTTTAATACAACACTATTCTAAAAATTCATGTTTATATAATTAAAACTTATTCTGAAACAGTATCTTCAGATTGATGCTGTAACTTGTCCTCTTGATAAAATTATACATGTGAATGTGTCATTCTACACATTCAATATTTGTAAGATAAATTAAAATGACTAATGATTATAATTACATATACTTAATTTTCTTGTAAATTATGTTTATCTAAAAATCTTAATATTTAAAATGAAAGCAATTAAATTTTCTTATTTAATTTAGAAACTTGTTTTAGAAGGAAAATTTTTGTTAGAAATTTAGTATAGGTTAGCTACAATTTTAAGACAATACAAAAAAAAAATAAGTGAGATAATACCTGCTATTAAGAAAATTTTAAACAGAAAATAATGAAATAACTATAAATAACTATTCTAATAATTAATAAATACAGTATTTTTATTATGTATAGAATTAGTTATGATTTTATACATTTATAGATTAATTCACTATACAAACATCTGTTCATATTAAAAATAATTTCAAAAACAATGTTGTGCATTTCAATCAAGAGTTTGTTAGTACAAATGCAAAGGTGTAAATGGATTATGTCTAGATTGTAACTTGGACTCAATATTCTTGCTATCCAGTAGATATCATCGGCCAGAATGGCACTCTGTTGTATATATTTTGTATTTTTGTATTCTAATTGTTAAAATAAGGCAATTCATGTCATCAGCGGTATCCTAACTCCTCTTATCCTTCCTACCACTACCATCCTCACTTCCATTCCCACTCTTCATATCCTCCCCAACCCTTGCCTTCCTTTCCCACCCCTCCTTTTGGGCAAGTCTAAGGACAGCCATCTATCTGTTATAAAAATAAAATAAAAAATATCCAGTAGATATAACTTCAAATTCTTTAAAATTTGATACTGAAAGATGAAGCCATTAAAATCTGTCTATTGGATCTAAATTTCCATTAAAACCAATAGAAAATTTTAAATAGAAAATTCAATATATGTTTTTTATTACTGTTTTTTTTTTATAGAATACATTTAATACATTATTCATACAATTTTAAATAGGTTTTGTCAAATACATTTTATATAAAAACTAACAAAAAATTATTAATAAAAAATATATTAATAGTTATTTTAGTACTTTAATATTCTTTAATAATATATTATGCAAGCTAGAATATTATACTATAATTTTATTAAAAATACAAATTCAGGTTGATTATTACTAGTTAGAGATTATTTTTTTATACTACTTTATTGAAATTCCTTAACTTGCATCATTTTCAATTACTAAAATATTACAACATTATCTGACAATTATGATGACTTTTTATTAAATTATAGATAAATTCTACAGCTTATCTGAAAGGTATTTTAATTATCCTGAAAAAGCATTTTACTAAACAATAAAGACTCATAGATATTACCTAAAATTAAGCCCATGCATAGGACTTTTTAAAAGAGTAAGATTTAAAAAAAAAAAAAAAAATTTTTTCATAACTTAATTTATTAATTTATACAATATAAGTAGATAGAATAGCACAATACAATAGACTGAGGAAGATCAAAATGAGTACAAAATAAATGTTATATATATATAGTATTGTTTTATTAACATTTTTCCATTTGATTTGCCAAATTGGAGGGGTTAAATCACCAATAAACCCTCCCATAGGTCTTGCCTGTGATTATATAAACCTCTTCATAACTTTATGGAAAATATTAGAAACTGAAAACAGATCCTATGAATACATTCTCGAAAATTTTATATTACTTTAGCAAACTATTTATTTTATTTATGGCATTTTAAGTTTATTTCTATCTAATCTTATGTTAATCACATATGAACTTTATAATAATGCATATTATAAAATCCAATTAAATCAAAACAATAGTATTATTGATACTATTTTACTTTTTAACATAACTGTAGTATTGACAGATGGATGATTAAGGTGGTTAAGGCCTCACCCTATTGCTCTGGGAACCCAAGATGAAATCCAGGCATGCAACCCCAAGAATATTTCATGGGTGTTCTGTCTTAGACCTGTCTGTCCTTGTTCCTCAACACCCAGCTGCTCATTGTGGACCTGGCCAAACTCATGATGGACATAGAAAAGGGCCTCTCAGTGCCCACAGGGTGGAAGTAATTCAAGGAAAAAAAACTATAATAGAACAAGAATATAGCCAATGTACTGAATCATGAATGTGTTTCACTCTGCCACTGTAACCAAGCACAAAAATTCTTCAAAATCCAATATTTGAATTTAGAAAAAACTTCAAAAATTCAGACATCATGTCATGACTTTTTGATTTTTTATAATCATAATACTTCTACTACTATTCAATTTCCTTGCATTAATAAGTACTATTAATTGTGCACTTTGATAATAAAAACATTTAATTCTGAGAATTCAATTTGAAAATGCTGTTAACATTAAACACATAACTCTCTGAAAAGCCTTATTGTTTATTATAACATGATATAACAGTAAATTTGATTATATAATTTATAGTCATATAAATGATAGTAATGTTATAACTCAGCGCTGTCCAACTTATCATAGTCCGCGGGTCATATTTTTTTTTATCAAACATTTCGGGGCCAAGAAGGTTGATAAACCACACGACATTTGCATAGTGCTACGGTTCAGTAAGCACAAATCGGTCAGCGAGTCCGATGTTGACGCTATAAAAAGGCGGCAGTTCGACACACCGGATATACGTCACTCTCGTCTAAGTTCGACTTGGGAATTTTTTTGTTCAATAATAAATGTGAATTCTTCTTCCTGGAAAAAATAAGACATTCCCTGAAAATAAGACCTAGCGCATTTTTCAGAGCAAAAATTAATATAAGACACTGTCTTATTTTCGGGGAAACACGGTAGTAAAATAATTTTAATATTAATAATAATAATTCAATAATTATTGATAGTAAAATGTACTCGAGGGCCGTAAAAATTATTTGGCGGGCCGTATACGGCCCGCAGGCCGCCAGTTGGGCAGCGCTGTTATAACTTATTTCTGAGCAATTTTAAAATATATAGTTTTAAAATATAACATTTTCAATATCAAAATTATATTCTAAAATTTTTGAATTGAGATTTTTTAAAAATTTAAATCATCAGTGAATAGAATGCAAATTATTCTAAATAAATATATCTTTGTTTTTATTTATTAATGGTATTTTGTGCAATTATTTTTACTTTTATATAATTATTTGAAAAATATAACCTATTGTATACATACTATAATTCACACATTAAAAATTTAAATAGTACAAAACAATTTAACGAAAATGAACATAAACTGATATTAAAATTTCATGTTTAAGAAAATTATGTTAATATACAGTACTATACATAAAAAAAGTCGTTTAGTATTCAATCTGCAATAGTAAGTCACATTAAAAAATAAATTAATGATTTATTAAATAAAACGATAGTCATTTATTATTATTATTATTAGTATTGTCATATTCTGTAAAAATGGAGGGAAAGAGATCAGAGAGAAGATGGATGGAATCAATCAGATGCCTTATAATTTGGGACCTATCAACTACGATCTCAGGCTACAGATATGTATGTAGATAAGTATAGAGGACTCAACCTGTAATTAACAGAGGAATTTGAAGAATTGTCAATATTCAGTTTTAATTAGCACTTAAATTGTATTAACAAGCCTTTCTATATATAACAAACATAAAACCATATTAAAGATATTTTTCAATTAATAAATTGGTAAATATTTTTAATATGGTTTTATTTATGTTTGTTGTTATTATGTTTTATGTAGAAAAATGTATTGTAAAATATTTTCTTGAGAAATAAAATAAGTTATTAAACAAAGTTCCAGTTAAATCAGAAATACAGAGTAAGTTGTCTGGTAAAGCAACTTTAATACAGATGGAAAAGCAAACCAAATACAATAATAACCTATTTCATTTGAAATGGACTGTCATTGGATTGCACATCCACCTGAATTAAAGCTGCCTTACCAGCAACGCACCCATTGTTAGAATAGATATGCAGTTCTTTTAAAAAATTGTTTATGGAGGATGGTGTAACTAATTCTATGATTTTGAAATATGCTTGATAAATGCATTTAGCACTTATTTATAAAACCTCACATGGAAGAAAAAAAATCTTGCATGTCTCATACTACATTATCCACAAATGGAATATTAATTATTGTTATATATGCAAAAATAGTCAAAAAATAACAAAACAACTTTCTAATCATTCCATATAATGTGATGATTTCGTTTAGTCATATTTAATGCAATAAAAAATGAAATTGCACGATTTTCATAATTTAAGATTGTAGTTAATTAAGTAAAGTTCTAGTAAAGAAAAACAGAGAGTTATATTAAAAAAATTTAATAATCAAGTCAAACAATATACAAAAAAAAACAACAAAATAGTTTCTTTGTCAAATATTTTTCATTGTATAAGAACAATTGTAAAACAATATAATTTATCAACAAATAAAATACTGTATAATGATATAAAAATGAATATGTTAAAATGAAATGCAATGAATTTGTATGCAGCATACAAAAAATCTGGATAAAATTGACATACAATGTCATAAAACTGTCAATTGGTAATATCAATAACATTAATCATACACACTATCAGACATTAAAAACACCTCCTAATGATAACTTATGGTTGGGAATACATTAAATCCCAAATTTCAATGACTTTTAGGAATGTTTCTAAGATTCACAGTACAATACAATAAATACTAACATCACCAACAAGTTTTGATTACAGAATAAAATAAAAATTATGTAAAAGTCTCTAAAACACATTATAGTTTGTTTATTGACGGAAAACATATAAAGGATGTTAATTCCGTACAAACACTAAGTACAATTTTTGCATTGATCATCCTTTTTAAAATGAAAATTTTAATCATTTCTTAAAATTCTTCTTCACTTGAATCTTCTCCAAAATTATATTTAATTGGGGCTCGTGATCTAGCAGATCGGGATCTCTGCACAGCTGTATAGGTATCGGGAAAACCATCTTCCTGTTCAACATCTGATTCAGTTTTTTTCAAAACTTTTTTGGATTTTATTTCTTTTTCTAAATTTCCATCTTCCTCATATAAACTCTTCATATTTTTTTTCTTAGGTGCCGGTACTGATTTTTTTAAACCTGCAGTAGGTTTTTTAGGTTTTGGCATAAAATCATCATCAGATTCCTCAGAAGAAACTTTCTTCCTAGGTCGTTTTTTCTGTTGTTTCTTTTCTTTTTCTATAATAAGTTCTACACCTGAACCATCGTCATCAGAATTAGATACAGCAGACAAATCACAAATATTTTCATTTGCTTCTGTAACATTATTTTTTTTCTCATTAGAGAAGAGAGAATCAAACAAAGATTCCTTATTGTCTGTAGTAACAAAAGCAGTTTTTCTTTCATTTTCTTGTAGAGATTTTGGTTTCTGGACCGATTTAAAACTGTCATCACTATCATCAGATAAAGAAATAACTTTATCATCTGCTTTCTTTTCTTCTTTTTCTGAATCAGAAAATACATTATTTTCTGAAATTTTTGCATTATTTACATAAGTTGGAACTTTAGCATTTTCAAAATCAGACATATCACTATTTTCAGATATAAATTTCAGTTTATTTTGTTCATCTATATCTTCATCACTATCAAAAGTATATTTGGCTCGAGCAGCAGCAGCAGCTCTTCTTGGTGCCACATCTCTCTTTTCAGTAGGAATTGTAATATCATCCACATCAGAATTATTTGATTCATTACCATCTGATTCAGAAGACCACGGATTTCTTTTAGGCCCTTTCTTATTACCTTTAGGAGAACCCGACTTCTTGACAGCTTTTAATAATGTGGAACTACATTTCAATTTCTTTTTCATTTTATTGGACTTATCAGAATTCCCAAGGCCTTCTTCACCATTTTCACAAAGTTCTTTAATCAATTCAGAGTCAGTTTTCTTTCCTTTCCCTCTTCTTTTACCTTCTCCAGTACCTAAAGGTGTTTTCTCTGCTCTCTTCTTCAAATCTGGATCAATATGTGGAATCACTCTCTGACCCATGGGTGAAGGTTTAGTTTCCTCCAGTGCAACTTTACGACCCTTTCCAGATTTACCCAATTTTATTGCCTTTTTAGTTCCACCAATTATTTCATCTTCTCTTTCCTTCTCTTCAACACGATCTAGTTCGACCATAAGGTTTGTTAAATCGTCTTCCCACAGATCTGCAGGTGTTTTCTCTCTTAAGGCTTCCAATTCTGCCCGTTTATCATCACGCTTCTTTAAAAGTTCATCTTTCCTCTCTCTTGTTAAACTCCACAGATTCATACCTAAGAGATAGTCATAATCAGGACCTGAACTGTCCCTTTCTTCATCATCTTCATTTGTTTCTTCATTGTCAGTATTTTTGTTCTGTGATTCTTTCCAAGACTTTACAGGGTCTGATTCATAGCCCCTTTCCTGTAAAGTTCTAATCAGTTCTGACTTTTTGCGATTCTCTATTATTATTTTACCTTCAATTTTCTCAAGAATAAAGCGAGCCTGGCTATCTAATTTTTTGCTCTCTGCTGTAAGCATTCCCTCTAAATAAGCCTTTCTTCTTTCGTAACAAGACAGACGTACCTCAAAAAATTCTTTAAGAATCTCTTCTGGAGAATCGTATCTACGTAAACAACCTTTATGATCAAACAAAACCATAGATGAAGTTGAAAGTGTAGTCTGCAACTTAAAAACTTTGTGAAGTCCCTGTTCTTCTGATTTTGAAAGTTTCTCTTCGTTCATTGTCACAACAAATCTCACTGTACTATCTGTATGATATTCTTTATAGTCTGTTATAAGAGATGGAACTTTGTCACTTCCGTGAAGCATCGTTTCCAGCACTTGTTCTTTGTAAGTCTGAGTCCAAGTACGAACCGGAAGTTCAGTGATTTCCAATTTATTCGAACTCAAAATCGACACTTCACCGTTAATAACATAACGCTGATTATCTAACTGCTCTATAACTCCTTTGAAGTTCTTAAACCACGGATTCATTTTAACCGGTTCCTCTCCCTTCAGCATCCTTCGAATATTTGAAACAATTTCTCTAGGATTGTAATTAGGAATTTTTGTACTCCAACCTGTACCTATACCTTCGCACCCGTTCACCAGTACCATAGGAATGACGGGAATATAATATTCAGGTTCGATACGTTGATTGTCATCAAACAAGTGAACGAGTAGTGGCTCGTCCAACTGTGAAAATATCAGCTTTGCTAGTGGACTCAGCATTGTGAAAATATAACGGGGACTTGCTGCGTCTTTCCCCCCTTGCAACCTCGTACCAAACTGTCCAATTGGTTGCAAAAGATTAATGTTGTTACTTCCCACAAAATTCTGAGCTAAATTAATGATTGTTCCCATCAGAGCAGATTCACCATGATGATATGCAGAATGTTCTGCTACAGAACCAGCTAACTGGGCCACTTTTATTTCTCGTTTGTCGTTTCTCTTGAAACAAGTGTACATCACTTTGCGCTGTCCCGGTTTCAGACCGTCGACAAGCGAGGGAATCGAACGTTCGTTATCCATGTTGCTGAAAAGAATCAGTTCTTTGTTCACAAAATCGTTGAACGTAATGTTTGTTGTGTTTTTTCCGTAAAGGTATAACTCGGGCAATCCAAGCTCTCTTCTGTGCTTTCTCTCTTCCATGCCATTTGTTAGCCACTCTTTTCTTTGATCTACCAACTTCTTACTGAATGCAAGTTGAATGGCATTATCGTCTTGAGTTCCTTCGTACTTGAATTTTATCCTGTGTCGATTCATATCTGCAAAATATTCTTTTGCTTCTTTAGAAGTGCTTGTGCCCAAACCTTTGTAGTACTTTATCTTCCATGTATTCCAGTTTGGAGTTTGTTGTTTCCATTCCTCGTATTCTGGTAAACTGTAAAAAGACATCTCTTCTTTGCCTTTAGAAATTTTCACAATCGGGGTGATAAATTCTTCCAGGAATGGCAGTCTTAACAAACTTGGCCAATTATGATGAATAAAATTGATCAACAGTCCCTTAATGTGTGAACCGTCCTGATCCTGATCAGTCATGATCATCAGCCTTCCGTATCTCAACGTCTTAAGATCATCTATGCTTTCGTATTTCTTCTTATACTGCAATCCCATAATTTTAATTATGTTATTTATTTCTTGATTTTCTAAAATCTGTTTGTGAGTAGCTTCTCGAACGTTTAGCATTTTCCCTCTCAGCGGAAACACTCCGTACTTGTCTCTTCNATGAACTAACTATAAATAACTATTCTAATAATTAATAAATACAGTATTTTTATTATGTATAGAATTGGTTATGTTTTTATACATTTATAGATTAATTCACTATACAAACATCTGTTCATATTAAAAATGATTTCAAAAACAAAACTAAATATTTACATTTAGTTTTGTTTCTATCCAATCATTATAGATATGAGTTTTCTTGGTTGTTGTAAAGCTTCAGAAGATTATAACTCTAAATTATGCAGTTCTCTTCTAACTACTCAAAAAATGTTCTTTGACAATTGTTATTGGTATTCTCTTGAGAATGATCAAACTAATAGACACCAATAAAAGAAATTCTACTGGTGTATATGCTATTGGTCTCTGAAAGCAAATAAATTTTATAATCAAGTTTTATTAGGATGACTATAATAACTAAAATATTTATAGATTGGCAAAATAGAAGTTTTAAAGTAGTAGTTTTAATACAACACTATTCTAAAAATTCATGTTTATATAATTAAAACTTATTCTGAAACAGATTGATGCTGTAACTTGTCCTCTTGATAAAATTATACATGTGAATGTGACATTCTACACATTCAATATTTGTAAGATAAATTAAAATGACTAATGATTATAATTACATATACTTCATTTTCTTGTAAATTATGTTTATCTAAAAATTTTAATATTTAAAATGACAGCAATTAAATTTTCTTATTTAATTTAGAAACTTGTTTTAGAAGGAAAATTTTTGTTAGAAATTTAGTATAGGTTAGCTACAATTTTAAGACAATACAAAAGAGAATAAGTGAGATACCTGCTATTAAGAAAATTTTAAACAGAAAATAATGAAATAACTATAAATAACTATTCTAATAATTAATAAATACAATATTTTTATTATGATTTTATACATTTATAGATTAATTCACTATACAAACATCTGTTCATATTAAAAATAATTTCAAAAACAATGTTGTGCATTTCAATCAAGAGTTTGTTAGTACAAATGCAAAGATGTAAACATAATAACAAATTAAATGGATTATGTCTATATTTTAACTTGGACTCAATATTCTTGCTATCCAGTATATACAACTTCAAATTCTTTAAAATTTGATACTGAAAGATGAAGCCATTAAAATCTGTCTATTGGATCTAAACTTCCATTAAAACCAATAGAAAATTTTAAATAGAAAATTCAATATATGTTTTTTTATAGAATACATTTTATACATTATTCATAAAATTTTAAATAGGTTTTGTCAAATACATTTTATATAAATACTAACAAAAAATTATTAATAAAAAATATATTAATAGTTATTTTAGTACTTTAATATTCTTTAATAATATATTATGCAAGCTAGAATGTTATACTATAATTTTATTAAAAATACAAATTCAGGTTGATTATTACTAGTTAGAGATTATTATTTTTTTATACTACTTTATTAAAATTCCTTAACTTCATCATTTTCAATTACTAAAATATTACAACATTATCTGACAATTATGATGACTTTTTATTAAATTATAGATAAATTCTACAGCTTATCTGAAAGGTATTTTAATTATCCTGAAAAAGCATTTTACTAAACAATAAAGACTCATAGATATTACCTAAAATTAAGCCCATGCATAGGACTTTTTAAAAGAGTAAGATTTAAAAAAAAAAAAAAAAATTTTTTCATAACTTAATTTATTAATTTATACAATATAAGCTCTTTTTTCTTGACGTGCTTTCATTTCTGCCATTAGTCCACTGCCAGAAGTTAATCCAGATGAAAATTTATCTAGCCCACGAATTCGTGAGATATCTGTAAGAAATATAAAATACCATCGGTAAATACAATTAAAATTTTAAAGAATTCTTGATGAGTTTTTCAACAAGGAAAATCTGTTTAATGAGTAATTCCAAGTTAAAATCAAACAGATAATTTATATAATTGCATAATTAGTTGTTCTCCGTAACTGTAGAAAGTTATGCAATAATAAATAACCTACTAAATTACAATATCCATCACACAACAGTAAATGTATAACATAGACTCAACTTTTCAACACAACTGCATGTAATGCTAAAACATAATAAAACAGGAGCTTTTAGTAATTTTTCTTTGGTTTGGTGAAAACAGAACTTTATATATTTACATAATCCTATCATATTTAAATAAATATGTTTAAATAGTCTTAATATGTTACATTGCTGGCATAACTGACCATATTTGACTTGGACTTAATTGGATGCTTTAGACCAAAAAACACAAAATAACGACACTTAATCAAGCCTTACATCCACAAAGTGACACTGACAGACTATTTTCTGTACAGTGAAGGAGGAAAAGAACTAACAGATTAAACAATTAAACAAACTATTGAAGAAGAAAATAGAGCCCTATTGGAATACATAAAATAAAATGAAGACATGGACATGGAAATTGCTTGGTTTGCAGTAATGATTAATTACTGCAAACCAAAGAAACAAAGGAAGCATACTGAAAAGTGCAATTGACAATATGAAGTCCAACCTGAAAAATAAAGCCCTCCATGGCCAATACCTTAAGAATATTGATGAAAAAATTGATAGAAGAAGAACTACTCTCATGTTAGAGTGGTTAAGAAGAAAAAAACAGAAGGCTCAATTTTTGCTGTATAGGAAACAAACACTAAGAACAAATGCAATTAAAACACAAATTGAAAAGTCATATAATTATCCCAAACACTATCTCTGCAATGAGTGAAAAACTTGCAAGCATATCATAAGCTGCTGCAAGAAAATCATGCAAACTTACTACTTTAAATGACATAACAAAGTATTAACAATAAGCAATTATTTAGCAGGCTGCAATTTTTAATCATATTTTTAATTTTTATTTAACTTAAAATATATGCTTTCCATTTCAAATTAGTAGTGGCTTGCCCCTGCACATCATACTTTTCCTTTAACAGCAATTGTGCCAATCATCTATCTAACACCTTTTGGAGAAAAATTTTTGAATTTAAATAACATGACTTCCAGTTTGCATCAGAAGTTCTTATATAGTTAATCCTGACCCTAGGTTTCCATATCTGGTCTCATCTTTCATCTATCTAACTCTGTTCTCAAGATTAAGGAAAGATAGACAACAGTGAAAATTTATGTCTACCATTTTTTAAATTGCAACCCAATGATTCACTCAAACCTTTGCAGAAAGTATTGCTTTCATTGCAGCAAGACTTAATATGATCATAAAATAGAAAAAAAGATTGTTGAAAATGGGAGAAAACTGTTTTTATGGGGCAAAGCTATTTTTTGTGGGTAGTCATCATATGCTATAGAGCAGCAGTCACCAACCAACAGTACATGGACCACTGATGGTCTGCGAGAAAATTTTGGTGGTCCATGGAGAAATTTGGACAGTGATGAACTGAAGGTTATGCAAAGTATTACAAAAGAATGCAAAATGCTTGGCTACTTTTTCTCACTCATTGGGAATATTTTATTTGAATCTAAAACCAAATATAAAATGACTGTAATCATTAAATGAGCCATTCACAAGCCAATTGATTAACTCCACATTTTGAATTTTTTTAAATTTTAGTGTGAAAGCACTTATTATAAATATAAAAAGTTATGAGTATATCAAGTTTTCCTAATAATAAGGATCAATACCACTTAATGACAAAATTTTATTGGCCATCAAAAAATTTTTTATTTATTTCAGAAGCCAATCTAAGTAACTCCATACTGTAACGTTAATCCGCACGCACACACTCCAATTGCAATGCTGCAGTGTGTGATGACCAGTGCTTTGTAGATAACAGTAACTTATTTAATGTTATCTCATCACAAAACGTAAGTAAAAGAAATTAGTTAGTTAGAGTCCAACTGCCGCAGAAGTAAACATACTTGTGGAATATTGAACGATTGTTTTAATTNATGAACGAAGAGAAACTTTCAAAATCAGAAGAACAGGGACTTCACAAAGTTTTTAAGTTGCAGACTACACTTTCAACTTCATCTATGGTTTTGTTTGATCATAAAGGTTGTTTACGTAGATATGATTCTCCGGAAGAGATTCTTAAAGAATTTTTTGAGGTACGTCTGTCTTGTTACGAAAGAAGAAAGGCTTATTTAGAGAGGAGAATTTCCTACTCTTTCAGCAAGAGGAGGTGGAGAATCATCTTTATCTTTCTTTAAAGAATCAACATCGGTTTTTTTGCTTCTTCCTCTTTTTTTACCTTCTCCAGTACCTAAAGGCGCTTTCTCTGCTCTCTTCTTCAAATCTGGATCAATACGTGGAATCACTCTCTGACCCATGGGTGAAGGTTTAGTCTCCTCCAGTGCAACTTTACGACCCTTTCCAGATTTACCCAATTTTACTGCCTTTTTAGTTCCACCAATTATTTCATCTTCTCTTTCCTTCTCTTCAACACGATCTAGTTCGACCATAAGATTTGTTAAATCATCTTCCCACAGATCTGCAGGTGTTTTCTCTCTTAAGGCTTCCAATTCTGCCCGTTTATCATCACGCTTCTTTAAAAGTTCATCTTTCCTCTCTCTTGTTAAACTCCACAGATTCATACCTAAGAGATAGTCATAATCAGGACCTGAACTGTCACTCTCATCATCATCTTCATTTGTTTCTTCATTCTCAGTACTTTTATTCTGTGATTCTTTCCAAGACTTTACAGGGTCTGATTCATAGCCCCTTTCCTGTAAAGTTCTAATCAGTTCTGACTTTTTGCGATTCTCTATTATTATTTTACCTTCAATTTTCTCAAGAATAAAGCGAGCCTGGCTATCTAATTTTTTGCTCTCTGCTGTAAGCATTCCCTCTAAATAAGCCTTTCTTCTTTCGTAACAAGACAGACGTACCTCAAAAAATTCTTTAAGAATCTCTTCCGGAGAATCATATCTACGTAAACAACCTTTATGATCAAACAAAACCATAGATGAAGTTGAAAGTGTAGTCTGCAACTTAAAAACTTTGTGAAGTCCCTGTTCTTCTGATTTTGAAAGTTTCTCTTCGTTCATTGTCACAACAAATTTCACTGTACTATCTGTATGATATTCTTTATAGTCTGTTATAAGAGATGGAACTTTGTCACTTCCGTGAAGCATCGTTTCCAGCACTTGCTCTTTGTAAGTCTGAGTCCAAGTACGAACCGGAAGTTCGGTGATTTCCAATTTATTCGAACTCAAAATCGACACTTCACCGTTAATAACATAACGCTGATTATCTAACTGCTCTATAACTCCTTTGAAGTTCTTAAACCACGGATTCATTTTAACCGGTTCCTCTCCCTTCAGCATCCTTCGAATATTTGAAACAATTTCTCTAGGATTGTAATTAGGAATTTTTGTACTCCAACCTGTACCTATACCTTCGCACCCGTTCACCAGTACCATAGGAATGACGGGAATATAATATTCAGGTTCGATACGTTGATTGTCATCAAACAAGTGAACGAGTAGTGGCTCGTCCAACTGTGAAAATATCAGCTTTGCTAGTGGACTCAGCATTGTGAAAATATAACGGGGACTTGCTGCGTCTTTCCCCCCTTGCAACCTCGTACCAAACTGTCCAATTGGTTGCAAAAGATTAATGTTGTTACTTCCCACAAAATTCTGAGCTAAATTAATGATTGTTCCCATCAGAGCAGATTCACCATGATGATATGCAGAATGTTCTGCTACAGAACCAGCTAACTGGGCCACTTTTATTTCTCGTTTGTCGTTTCTCTTGAAACAAGTGTACATCACTTTGCGCTGTCCCGGTTTCAGACCGTCGACAAGCGAGGGAATCGAACGTTCGTTATCCATGTTGCTGAAAAGAATCAGTTCTTTGTTCACAAAATCGTTGAACGTAATGTTTGTTGTGTTTTTTCCGTAAAGGTATAACTCGGGCAATCCAAGCTCTCTTCTGTGCTTTCTCTCTTCCATGCCATTTGTTAGCCACTCTTTTCTTTGATCTACCAACTTCTTACTGAATGCAAGTTGAATGGCATTATCGTCTTGAGTTCCTTCGTACTTGAATTTTATCCTGTGTCGATTCATATCTGCAAAATATTCTTTTGCTTCTTTAGAAGTGCTTGTGCCCAAACCTTTGTAGTACTTTATCTTCCATGTATTCCAGTTTGGAGTTTGTTGTTTCCATTCCTCGTATTCTGGTAAACTGTAAAAAGACATCTCTTCTTTGCCTTTAGAAATTTTCACAATCGGGGTGATAAATTCTTCCAGGAATGGCAGTCTTAACAAACTTGGCCAATTATGATGAATAAAATTGATCAACAGTCCCTTAATGTGTGAACCGTCCTGATCCTGATCAGTCATGATCATCAGCCTTCCGTATCTCAACGTCTTAAGATCATCTATGCTTTCGTATTTCTTCTTATACTGCAATCCCATAATTTTAATTATGTTATTTATTTCTTGATTTTCTAAAATCTGTTTGTGAGTAGCTTCTCGAACGTTTAGCATTTTCCCTCTCAGCGGAAACACTCCGTACTTGTCTCTTCCGACAACACCCAATCCAGAAACGGCAAGCGTCTTTGCCGAATCACCTTCCGTCAGAATAAGAGTACAGTCTATGGAACCTTTCGTACCGGCATCGTTAGCGTCTTCTAATTTCGGTATTCCCCGTAACTTAGAATGTTTTGTGGCACTACACTTTTTATTAAGTTCTGTTTGAGCTTTAAACCTTACCCATGACATGATACATTCTATGATTCCACATTTAATCACTTGATTAAAAAACTTATCACTGAGTGGACATTTAGAACCAAAATTTTTTGCCTGAAGTGTCATGTTTTCTTTAGTTTGTGAATCAAATGTGGGATTTTCAATCAAACAATTAACAAATACCCACATGTGATTTTTTATCTGGAAGGGCTTTATTTGAACACCACCCTTATTTTTCTTCTTCACCACATCTGCAAGTTTGCTGACAATCTGTTCTGTCACATAATCCACGTGACGTCCACCCTTAGTAGTAGCAATGCTATTTACAAAACTCACCTGCTGAAAACCTCTTTCACTCATTGTCACAGCCACTTCCCATCTGTCATTCACACTTTCATAAACAACTTTTAACGGATTTCCTTGTTCGTCGTTCTTGTCTTTAATGTACTGCTCAACGTATTCTTTAAATCCACGTATCGGTAACCTTTTTCCATTCAAGTACACTTTTACTCCCCGGCTAGATCCTGCCACATCGTACACTCTTCTCGACATCAAAGCGACAGTATCTTTGTCCAAAACTTCCATTCCAAATTTGCTCAAATCAGGAGAGAATGTAACACACGTGAAATCTTCTCCTTTATTCGGAATAATACGAGCTTCTGTTGTTTTTGACATGTTATCAGTCCAGCACTGTTTAAAACTTTTCTTGTATTCTTTCGAAGACGTTTCCACAACAAATTTAGTACTGAATATGTTGCAGAGTTTGGCACCATATCCGTTTCTTCCTCCCGTTACTTTCTTCTCTTCGTCGTTGTAGTTTGACGAAGTTAAAAGGTGACCAAAAATTAACGACGGAACAAATATCTTTTCTACTTTGTGTTCGACGACGGGAATTCCCTTACCGTTATTCCAAATACTTATTTTATTATTTTCGGGATCAATGTCGACTTTTATGCAGTCCATGCTTTTATCTCTTTGCTTGTTATCTGCAGCATTAACTAAAATTTCGTCAAAAATTTTGTAAAGTCCAGGAACGAAACTAACATCACGAAATATCATCCCAGTTTCCGGGCCATCGTAAACCCACATAGACTGAGTAACTGGTTCGACTGAGCCAATATATGTATCTGGTCTCAACAAAATGTGCTCAAGTTGAGTCTTTTTTTGATAGATTCTTTCTACAGACAGTCTTTTATCCGTTTTCTGTTTATAGTCTCCATTATCAGCCAATTCTTGATTTTCGCAAAAAAAGTCACTTAATTTCTCCTTTTTGGATGCCATCACGATCCAAATAAAAACTCATTCGATTGACAAACACTAAACAGTTATCATTTAAACATATTAATCTCGATAACAAGGTGTTGGATTGCAATCTGTATCCCAGTAATCATCGAATATTTTATAAATTGAAAAATTAAAAATATTTTAAAGAAATTATTTTCGTTTTCTCGTTTGATTACATTTTATATATATATTGAATCGAGTAACTAAAAAATAGATGAATAAAAAAATTTATTAAGAGAAAGTAAGTCGAACGTCGTATTATAGAAGAATTCCTGATTCTGAATAAATATTAATGTCAAATATTTTTTAATATTAATTAATATATTTAAATTTGGACAAAGTTTTTGTCATAAGTTTTAAATTTATTTTTGAATGCAGACGAACCTGTAACCACAAACGCCATCGGTTACGAGAGTATAGAATTCGAAGTTTGTCTTTTAGTTAACGGTCGTTCGAAAGTGTGAAAATAGTTTTCTTTTATCTCAAGTTTATGTTAATTCGATCAGTGTTTAAATTAACTTAAAAAATTACTGGATTATAAAGTAAGTTCGAAGGACAGTATTACGATCGTTAATGCTTGGTTAAGCTTTTAATTTGATACTCAAAATTTTCAAAATGGCAACGAAGAAAGAAAAGATCGTTGAATACTTCGGAAGGAATAAGCCGTTAGAAGATGATGAAGAAAATAAGAAGAAATCCGATAAAAGATTATCCGTCGAACGAATTTATCAAAAAAAGACTCAACTTGAGCACATTTTGTTGAGACCAGATACATATATTGGCTCAGTCGAACCAGTTACTCAGTCTATGTGGGTTTACGATGGCCCGGAAACTGGGATGATATTTCGTGATGTTAGTTTCGTTCCTGGACTTTACAAAATTTTTGACGAAATTTTAGTTAATGCTGCAGATAACAAGCAAAGAGATAAAAGCATGGACTGCATAAAAGTCGACATTGATCCCGAAAATAATAAAATAAGTATTTGGAATAACGGTAAGGGAATTCCCGTCGTCGAACACAAAGTAGAAAAGATATTTGTTCCGTCGTTAATTTTTGGTCACCTTTTAACTTCGTCAAACTACAACGACGAAGAGAAGAAAGTAACGGGAGGAAGAAACGGATATGGTGCCAAACTCTGCAACATATTCAGTACTAAATTTGTTGTGGAAACGTCTTCGAAAGAATACAAGAAAAGTTTTAAACAGTGCTGGACTGATAACATGTCAAAAACAACAGAAGCTCGTATTATTCCGAATAAAGGAGAAGATTTCACGTGTGTTACATTCTCTCCTGATTTGAGCAAATTTGGAATGGAAGTTTTGGACAAAGATACTGTCGCTTTGATGTCGAGAAGAGTGTACGATGTGGCAGGATCTAGCCGGGGAGTAAAAGTGTACTTGAATGGAAAAAGGTTACCGATACGTGGATTTAAAGAATATGTTGAGCAGTACATTAAAGACAAGAACGACGAACAAGGAAATCCGTTAAAAGTTGTTTATGAAAGTGTGAATGACAGATGGGAAGTGGCTGTGACAATGAGTGAAAGAGGTTTTCAGCAGGTGAGTTTTGTAAATAGCATTGCTACTACTAAGGGTGGACGTCACGTGGATTATGTGACAGAACAGATTGTCAGCAAACTTGCAGATGTGGTGAAGAAGAAAAATAAGGGTGGTGTTCAAATAAAGCCCTTCCAGATAAAAAATCACATGTGGGTATTTGTTAATTGTTTGATTGAAAATCCCACATTTGATTCACAAACTAAAGAAAACATGACACTTCAGGCAAAAAATTTTGGTTCTAAATGTCCACTTAGTGATAAGTTTTTTAATCAAGTGATTAAATGTGGAATCATAGAATGTATCATGTCATGGGTAAGGTTTAAAGCTCAAACAGAACTTAATAAAAAGTGTAGTGCCACAAAACATTCTAAGTTACGGGGAATACCGAAATTAGAAGACGCTAACGATGCCGGTACGAAAGGTTCCATAGACTGTACTCTTATTCTGACGGAAGGTGATTCGGCAAAGACGCTTGCCGTTTCTGGATTGGGTGTTGTCGGAAGAGACAAGTACGGAGTGTTTCCGCTGAGAGGGAAAATGCTAAACGTTCGAGAAGCTACTCACAAACAGATTTTAGAAAATCAAGAAATAAATAACATAATTAAAATTATGGGATTGCAGTATAAGAAGAAATACGAAAGCATAGATGATCTTAAGACGTTGAGATACGGAAGGCTGATGATCATGACTGATCAGGATCAGGACGGTTCACACATTAAGGGACTGTTGATCAATTTTATTCATCATAATTGGCCAAGTTTGTTAAGACTGCCATTCCTGGAAGAATTTATCACCCCGATTGTGAAAATTTCTAAAGGCAAAGAAGAGATGTCTTTTTACAGTTTACCAGAATACGAGGAATGGAAACAACAAACTCCAAACTGGAATACATGGAAGATAAAGTACTACAAAGGTTTGGGCACAAGCACTTCTAAAGAAGCAAAAGAATATTTTGCAGATATGAATCGACACAGGATAAAATTCAAGTACGAAGGAACTCAAGACGATAATGCCATTCAACTTGCATTCAGTAAGAAGTTGGTAGATCAAAGAAAAGAGTGGCTAACAAATGGCATGGAAGAGAGAAAGCACAGAAGAGAGCTTGGATTGCCCGAGTTATACCTTTACGGAAAAAACACAACAAACATTACGTTCAACGATTTTGTGAACAAAGAACTGATTCTTTTCAGCAACATGGATAACGAACGTTCGATTCCCTCGCTTGTCGACGGTCTGAAACCGGGACAGCGCAAAGTGATGTACACTTGTTTCAAGAGAAACGACAAACGAGAAATAAAAGTGGCCCAGTTAGCTGGTTCTGTAGCAGAACATTCTGCATATCATCATGGTGAATCTGCTCTGATGGGAACAATCATTAATTTAGCTCAGAATTTTGTGGGAAGTAACAACATTAATCTTTTGCAACCAATTGGACAGTTTGGTACGAGGTTGCAAGGGGGGAAAGACGCAGCAAGTCCCCGTTATATTTTCACAATGCTGAGTCCACTAGCAAAGCTGATATTTTCACAGTTGGACGAGCCACTACTCGTTCACTTGTTTGATGACAATCAACGTATCGAACCTGAATATTATATTCCCGTCATTCCTATGGTACTGGTGAAGGTTGGAGTACAAAAATTCCTAATTACAATCCTAGAGAAATTGTTTCAAATATTCGAAGGATGCTGAAGGGAGAGGAACCGGTTAAAATGAATCCGTGGTTTAAGAACTTCAAAGGAGTTATAGAGCAGTTAGATAATCAGCGTTATGTTATTAACGGTGAAGTGTCGATTTTGAGTTCGAATAAATTGGAAATCACCGAACTTCCGGTTCGTACTTGGACTCAGACTTACAAAGAGCAAGTGCTGGAAACGATGCTTCACGGAAGTGACAAAGTTCCATCTCTTATAACAGACTATAAAGAATATCATACAGATAGTACAGTGAAATTTGTTGTGACAATGAATGAAGAGAAACTTTCAAAATCAGAAGAACAGGGACTTCACAAAGTTTTTAAGTTGCAGACTACACTTTCAACTTCATCTATGGTTTTGTTTGATCATAAAGGTTGTTTACGTAGATATGATTCTCCGGAAGAGATTCTTAAAGAATTTTTTGAGGTACGTCTGTCTTGTTACGAAAGAAGAAAGGCTTATTTAGAGGGAATGCTTACAGCAGAGAGCAAAAAATTAGATAGCCAGGCTCGCTTTATTCTTGAGAAAATCGAAGGTAAAATAATAATAGAGAATCGCAAAAAGTCAGAACTGATTAGAACTTTACAGGAAAGGGGCTATGAGTCAGACCCTGTAAAGTCTTGGAAAGAATCTCAGAACAAGAATATTGACAGTGAAGAAGTGAGTGAAGATGATGAAGAAAGGGACAGTTCAGGTCCTGATTATGACTATCTCTTAGGTATGAATCTGTGGAGTTTAACAAGAGAGAGGAAAGATGAACTTTTAAAGAAGCGTGATGATAAACGGGCAGAATTGGAAGCCTTAAGAGAGAAAACACCTGCAGATCTGTGGGAAGATGATTTAACAAATCTTATGGTCGAACTAGATCGTGTTGAAGAGAAGGAAAGAGAAGATGAAATAATTGGTGGAACTAAAAAGGCAGTAAAATTGGGTAAATCTGGAAAGGGTCGTAAAGTTGCACTGGAGGAGACTAAACCTTCACCCATGGGTCAGAGAGTGATTCCACGTATTGATCCAGATTTGAAGAAGAGAGCAGAGAAAGCGCCTTTAGGTACTGGAGAAGGTAAAAAAAGAGGAAGAAGCAAAAAAACCGATGTTGATTCTTTAAAGAAAGATAAAGATGATTCTCCACCTCCTCTTGCTGAAAGAGTAGGAAATTCTCCTACAATATTAGAACAGAAAAATAAAAAGAAAATGAAACAGGGGACTTTATCATTTAAAGCTGCAAAGAAAACAAGTTCTCCTAAAGGTAAGAAAGGTTCAAAAAGAAATCCTTGGTCATCTGAGTCTGATGGTGGTCATTCTGATTCTTCGGATTTAGAAGACATTGAACCAACTGAGAAACGTGAAATTGTTCCTAGAAGAGCTGCAGCAACTGTTCGAAGTAAATATATATTTGATAGTGATGATGATGATGATGAACCAAAAATAATTAATTTGAATAAAAACAGTGATTCTTCTGACATTGAACAGAATAATGAAATATCACCAAAGAAAGATATAGATTCAAAATCTAATGACAATTTCATTCCTGAATCTGAAGATAGTGATGAAAGTGTAAAACCAATATCTAAAACCAAGAAAGGTGAAAAATCTTCTAAGAGTAATGTAGTTGCAGATAATGATGCTTTATTTGAGTCTCTCCTTTCTGACGAGAATAAAAATAATGCAAAAATGGATAATAATGATGACAATTCAGATCTATCCTTTGATGAAAATATTTTACAGATGAAAGGAAATGAACAAAAAAAGAAATTAAAAGCCAAAAAACGACCAAAGAAAAACGTCTCATCAGATGATTCTGAATCTGAATTCAAACTAAAATCCAAAAAATCTACTGCTGTTCCTAAAAAAGGAGGGAATAAAAGAAAAAAAGTTGATGATAGCAATGGTGCAGGACCAAAACCAAAATTACCTGCTAAATCTAAAAAGACTGTAAAAAAGAATTCAAGTGATGATGATGGGGATGACTTCGATGACGATACCTTGGCAAAAGTTACTGTAACTGAACAGCGATCACGTTCCGCTAGATCGTGTGTGCCCGTAAAATATCATTTCGGATCTGACTCAAATGAAGAAAGTTAAAACATTCTCATGATTTATTATGTCATTTAAATCACACATATTTAAGATTTGTCTAACATTATAATTTGTTTCTCAATTTATTTAAATCAGTTATCATTATTTTTGCATTATATTCATTAAATATAGAAATATATCATTTTTATAATATTTTTTCAAAATATAATACGAGTTTTGTGGTTCACATATAAGTGATAAAAGCATTTACATGCATTTTGTAATATTAGCTAGATTCAGGAAAGAAACTTCTCAAAGGGGGCATATTTTATATGCATTAGAAAAAATACTGTATATAATCCACATTTTATTACTGCCTTAAAGTTATTGAGAATATTAAAAATTACAAAATTTCTATACTTAAGAATTCATAACTGCAATCATTCATCATTCATATTTGTTAAGTAGTTTTATACTGTTAATAAATATTACAATTAAATATAGCTGTATATTTTTTTTATTCATGAAGAAAGAAATTATTAAAGTTTTAACTTTAAAAAATAATAAAATTAAATTTTTCTATAAAGTTTTTAAAACTGTAAAAATCAATTTTACATGTTTTACTCTTAAAAGTAATTTGTATAAGTATTCATATTTAATTTAGTTTAAATATGTAAATATTTTTGGTGTTTTTTATTTTATGTATATATATCATATAAACATACATAAAATAGTAGCAAGCATTATNGCAACTTTCCGTGTTTATTCTTAAGTTTGTTTTTCGAAATTTTGAATCGCTTAAAGTTCGTTTTAATGTTCTGTTCCATACACATTCGAATTCCTCATAAACATAGCCTGATGAAGACCCGGATGGGGTTGAAAACGTTCGCTGATGTATGAAGCAAGTATCACTGGAGTTACAAAGGTTTTTGTGTGAGAGTATATTTTTCCTCTGGTGCGCAAGAATAGTTTATTTTTTCTTATATAAGATAGAACCAACTACAATTGATTATTTGGAACCCCTTTGTAATAGGTTAACCCTATCACAATAAACTTATGGACAGTACTTACTATCCAGAGAAGGCAATGGGGAAACCACTCTGGTACTAACTTATCCCAGGACAACACTTGGTGTGCAAATTAATCTGTAATAACCTGCGCCAGGTATTTGCCAACATCAGGGTGACTTGATATGACACATGAAGGGAGAGAAATAATACCAATTCTTGGTGTATGATTGTATTAGTTTATCTTTTGAGAATGAGAAATTATAATATAATTACCTCTTTCTAACCTGTTACCGGTGTGTCTAAGTAGACACACCGGTAACAGGTTAGAAAGAGGTAATTATATTATAATTTCTCATTCTCAAAAGATAAACTAATACAATCATACACCAAGAATTGGTATTATTTCTCTCCCTTCATGTGTCATATCAAGTCACCCTGATGTTGGCAAATACCTGGCGCAGGTTATTACAGATTAATTTGCACACCAAGTGTTGTCCTGGGATAAGTTAGTACCAGAGTGGTTTCCCCATTGCCTTCTCTGGATAGTAAGTACTGTCCATAAGTTTATTGTGATAGGGTTAACCTATTACAAAGGAGTTCCAAATAATCAATTGTAGTTGGTTCTATCTTATATAAGAAAAAATAAACTATTCTTGCGCACCAGAGGAAAAATATACTCTCACACAAAAACCTTTGTAACTCCAGTGATACTTGCTTCATACATCAGCGAACGTTTTCAACCCCATCCGGGTCTTCATCAGGCTATGTTTATGAGGAATTCGAATGTGTATGGAACAGAACATTAAAACGAACTTTAAGCGATTCAAAATTTCGAAAAACAAACTTAAGAATAAACGCGGAAAGTTGCGCACGCGCAACCACTCATTTGCGAAACGGTTAACAACCAAAAATAGGAAACTCAACAAATCAGTTACGGGGGTGGTTTCCCTCATAACATTAAGTTCTATCTTATTACATTATTATTTCCACTATACATCATTTCAATTTTTATAACATACAATCCTTATAATATAAGCTAAATCTTAAAGTCACCAGACATACTCCTACATTACAAAAGACTGTTGAATTATAAAACAAAACAATTACCAAATTTATAATAAAAAGATACTGCGTTGTTTGTTAATGTTCTTTAATGCACAGAGGTGTTATCTGAATCAACTGTCAATGCCTCCACAGAAATAAATTTTATACAAATTGGAAAAAAATTACATCTATGATTATATTTTCTTGAAACAAGAAATTCCAAAAGCCATTTGTATCATTTGAAACTCTTTCGATATAACAGGCTCTTTATGCTTCTGACAATATAGTGCTATAAATTAAGACACTTGGCGGATTTTCTCATCTTTATTTAGTTGATACATGTGGAAAAAATTACACGTTTCGAGCTCTTAAGCCCCTCTTCAGGCAACTAAAACATTTAAAAAGGATATAACATACACATAAAAAGGAATAACAAGTTTTGTAAAATTCTTAAAAAATAAAACATACCTATCCATACAGGTTTCTTAAAAAATAAAACATACCTGTATGGATAGGTATGTTTTATTTTTTAAGAATTTTACAAAACTTGTTATTCCTTTTTATGTGTATGTTATATCCTTTTTAAATGTTTTAGTTGACTGAAGAGGGCTTAAGAGCTCGAAACGTGTAATTTTTTCCACACGTATCAACTAAATAAAGATGAGAAAATCCGCCAAGTGTCTTAATTTATAGCACTATATTGTGTCAGAAGCATAAACAAATAGCAAAGCACGGTTTCATATCATCAAAATAACAGGCTCTGTTATAACAATACTTTCACCAAGTGGCTATCATAGGAGATTTAATAACAACTACCATAAGAAATTGAACATGTTACAATATTTTTTTTTTTCCTCTGTGACACATCACTTAATTGAACTACTTTATCAAGATTAATATCATATAAATATACCTTATCATCTTTTATATAATAATCATCTCTTGCAATTATTTTAAATTAAATTGATTATTATCTTAAATTATTTTAAGAGTAACTGGTCCTTATTCAGGCAATACAGATGTGGAGAAAACCTGGAAAACTCCACATGGCCAGCCGTCCATCAAGGCATGAACCAATGACCAAACTCCCAGTATTCAGGGACAGAATCGCTTGGCCACTGGTGGCCTGGTATTATTTGCTTTTGATAATTCCTTTTGCAATAATCATACAAATTATTGCAAAAGGAAAAGTTAATTGATTTCTAAAGTTTTTGTATTTCCTGATGGGAAAGCTGATTCATTATACACTCGTCTAAAAAATAAACAACCATTAATTCTATCAGAATCAAAGTCTCTTCTTGAATGAGAACATCTTGAAGATCTTGGGAGTGTTGGTAAAGGCTAATGAAATAAACTGGGGAGACTCAAACGATAAATCAATCAATAAGAAACCTTTTTTTCTAGCAAATATATTTAATTGAGCAGATACACAGCTCAACTTCAAGTGAAGATTCCTTACTATGTACTGTTCTGTTCTAGTTGGAACATTAGTTCCATGACAACTTAATTCAATTTTACAAATAAATTTCATTTATATTAAGTTAGCAATCTATTGTGGGCCTGGATGAACTCATAAAGGCTTCTGAAAAGGTTTTAGAGCCCATGGGACAGAAAGAGCTTCAAAAAGAGAAAAACACTAGCAAACTGGTCTCTTCATATTGTTCATGGGACCATACTGGTTCCTTATTCTCTCCAGATTCTAATTCAATGTGAACAGAATATTGCTCATTATCTCAAAATCCAATGTTGATGTTCTTGACATCATGTTAAATTATCTTCTGTTCATAGGGGTCGAAGAATGCAATATAGTAAACATCTGACAAAAAGACTATTTTCCTGAATAAGTTATCTAAATAATAAGCTTGTAATTATTAACAAATAATTACAAGCTTATTAGATAAATTAATGAAATATATGGACAAATAATTTTTAAGATATAACAGATTAATATGTTTAGTAATAATGTATATCATATTTAAATATGGAAAATTAATAGTGTAACACATTTACGATCATTTAAATCTCTTTTTATATTGATAAAAGAAGTTTGTTTACTTACTAAAATTATTTTAAAATATCTTCTAATAAATAACATTGTATTTATTGTAAAATCAAATTTATCATTTCATCTTTATATTGATTGGTTCAAGGTTTGTAAATAATATGTTGAAATTACACTAGTTTTAACATCTACTTAATATTATATGAATAAGTAAATAATACAAAGTATAAATTAAATGTCCATTTAAATGTGATTCATGTGATCGAGAATTTCGAAAATGGGGACAATTACAGAGGCATCGCAAGGTACATGCTGATGATAAACCTCACCGGTGCGATCAGTGTGATGCATCGTTCAATTTGGAATCAAATCTACTTCTTCATCAAGCAACTCATTGTACCTCTGATCCTGTTTGTCCAGAATGTGGAAAGAAATTTTCCAGAGTTGCCAGCTTAAAGGCTCATGTAATGTTACACGAGAAGGAAGAGAACTTAGAATGTCCTGAATGTGGAGATGAATTTAGTACACAGCCACACTTAGATAAGCATATGCAAGTACACTGTGATGAAATGACAGTATAAATCAATGATCAGATGATTCTGTATTTCACTTTTCTTGATTTGTTTTATCATAAAACTTTAATACACGGTGTATCAAAACTCATGGTACAAATGCTAAGGGGTGATAGAACACAACTAGACAAGCACAAATCACCTTACAATGCATGCTTGGAACTCAAGCAGTGAAGTGCTAAACAGCTTACTGTGTAATGAAATGATGATAAACAAGAATGACAGAGAAGAAATGAAAGAAACCTGATAAATTTAAGAAAAATATTTTATTCGACATTTATTACAGTAACTGCTCAAAAAATGAGCCCTTTTTGCAGAGTTGCTGGTGCAATTGCTGGAAGGTTCTTGAATCTGGCACGCATCTTGTTAGAAAAGATTCTTGGTACAATCTTTGGACTTCATTTGCATTTTCATCTGCAGTCCTGTACATGTAATGCATATTTGCCTTCTCCTGTTTTGTGTATGTATCTATCTCATCAGTAATCCACAGTAAATTGACAATGGCTGCTATGAACAGCATTTTTATTTCATTTTCTGGGAAGTGCTCTCTAGTAGTTCAGTGCTTGATGCATTGTAGGGTGATTTGTGCTTGTCTAGTTGTACTTAAATATAGAATATAAATTATTTGCTATCAATGATGATTCAGTTTTAGCAAATAATTAAATATAATAAAGCAAGAATAGCACAATCAAAATTTTAAAACAAATAAATTAAATTAAACATTTTAAACTCAATTTAAAGAACTATAATGCCAAGATTTTTAAAATCAAATTTTAAAAGAAAATGTAAATTTCTTTTAGAACTTCATCTACAAATTTCATTAAACTCTGTACCAAGAGCATCTGAAATTTTATGAACATAGTGCTTTTTTTTTTTTTTAAATGAATTTTTAAAATACTTTAAACCTATAAATGAATGGAAAAAAAAAACATATTTGAAAACAATAAACAACAAAAAATATTGTATAGAATAATTAAGATATTTGAATTTTAATCAACATTTCTTTTTAAAATCTGTTAAAGATTTATAAAAGTTTATTTTTTTCCTAGTGTATTTATAATACAACTTTAAGCAATTTATTGTCAGTTCCTTATTAATTGCTAAGAATATCTCAATTTTGTATATTTCAATTTGTTGAAGTAAGTAACTTTTTAGAGATATTAGTATTATTGTATGCCAAAATAATTTTATACCAAAATGATTCAATGTTATTGTTTAAGCAATAAAATTAAATCATATTGGTAAAATTTTACATCTGACAGACATAAAATATTGATTGAAAATTACATATTATAAAGCATCAAAAAGCAACATTTCATAATATATCATGTAACTCATATTAATATATCATTCTGTATTGATGCTGGAAAGAATCAAATAGAAATTAGTTTTAAACAGGGCTGTGGAATCGGAGTCGTGGAGTTTTGGTGTTTTAGCCGGAGTCGGAGTTGGAGTCATCAAAAAATCCGCCGACTCCCGACTCCCATTTACTTACCAACTTGTTATGTATATGAAATGGAGTCGGTAGATTTTTACGCGACTCCACAGCCCTGGTTTTAAATAACAGTAAACAGAAAATCAATTCCTTGTTTAGAAAATAAAAGAAAAAAATTTTTTTTTTTGTTTTGGAAAGTTTTAAATACAGTATTTATAATGCTTTACTTCCTAAAATCTTTTGTTATAAAGTCTGTTCTAAAATTTAACTTTGTTATGTTATAAAATAATTTTTATTTTACTAACTTTAATATACCGATATGGTACATAAAATATTAAATTTCCAAATTAAAAATTTGTCAATGCAGTTAAATAAAATTTGTGTTAATGAATAAGACATTTTATTCAAAATTTTATACATAAACATATTGAATACAGAATATTTGTTGGTACTAATAATAAAATCCTGATAATTGGAGTTCACTTACATTAATTAATTAAATAACAGTTTTTCTAGTACTTTCAGGCAAGCAAGTCTATTATCAGAAGATACAAAAGAAAACTAGCTTGACCTGTCGTCTAAATCTGTTCACACACATCTGGACATGAACAAGTCTGAAGGTAAAATAGGCTATTAGTATAGATTTTTAGAATAAGATATATACACAAATTTATTAATGCTCTATTTAATTATATTGATAATATAAAAGTTCTTCCAATTGTATTTTATTCAGATTTCATTACCATAATTAGCCAATAAAAGTCAAAATTGAAATTCAATAACTATTCTATATTTATTGAACCTCTTGTCATAAGAATGAATATATCTCAAAATCCCATTTTGCCATGTTTTTCTAAGATTTTACATATGATCTATATCACTGATTTAAAAAGAACTACATATTTGATTACAAAGAGGTTATTAAATTTAGGAAATGAGTGAGAATTTGCTTTTACTTAAAATAAAAGGTTTTACTATTTTGAAAACAAAATTAACACTTTATACAAGAAACAAGCAATTCAATTTCCTTTAGTATGGAGCTTAAACTTTTTTCATTCAGGACCCTCTTTTACTGGAGATAATTTTACATGACCCCCCAGTATATAAAATAAGTATACAAATAAAATCACTTACTGATAATAAATCATAAAACAGTTTATTCCAAAACAATTCTTTGATATATATATAAAGATATGAAAGATATATATATATATATATATAAAGATAAAACAAAACATTGAAGATACCATAATATCAAATATTCAGCCAAGATTTAATTCATGTAAAAATAAACAAGCACATCCATCTCATTACTTTGCAAATTTGTTTTTCTTTAATAAATTGTAAAAAGTTTTACTGTTGTCAAAATTTTTCAACCCTCACATTCAGTTACACAATTCAAAAAGGATTGTAACCCATAGTTTAAGAAGCCCTGCTTTAGTATTATAATAATAATAGAAAAAAAAAATCTATTAAAATATCTTACAATACACATTAATAAGTCTTTAATAATAAGATTAAGTTATGATAATTATATTGATTATATTTTTTCATACAAATGGAAAATTGTGATAAATTTTATGAATTGTTTTTCTATTCTATGTATAAATTATTGTTTTAATTCAACAAGTTATTTAAAATAGATTTACAAAGCAATCTTATGTTAAATATTAAAAATGTTGAATGAAAACTTGTTTTGGAATAGCAATTCTTTTTCAATTAATGGAATACTGTCATCTTTCACAGATGGTTTTAATCAATTTATCAAATTAAAAATTAAAAGTATATCAAGCTACAATTTATCAAGTTAAGAATTTATCAAATTACAAGTTTTCATGTTAAGTGTGGCAAAATGTCATCTGTATGTTTTATGTATTTATATATCTCAGTATCATTCAGCTCTTTTCTATTTTTAGTAAATGCTTACATTGATATAAGAAATAGAATGAGAGTGGAACTTATAAAATTAAAACTTTATATAAATGTAAATTTTTTCTAGTTACATTAATTTTCCTTGGATTTAGTTTAAATTATTTTGTATGAGCTCTAGTTTTATCTATTGTTTTGTAAGTTGACACCATTATTCATTTGCACATGCACACATTTGTTGTCATTGCATAGGGCCTATATGTAGTTTTCAATTATTTTAAGTTTTCTTCTTTATTCCATATCTTATTTTCTATGTTTTCATACAGTGTATTAAATTCACTTTTGGTGAGTTGCATCTTTTTATCCACATATATTTTTTGTTCTAGTGCTTCCAGGATTTTTGTTTTGGTTTCAGAGATGTTTGCTTTTTATTATAACATTTTCTACATCTAAAAATCTATAATTGTTTAGTGATCATTTTATTGTCACTGTGAAGAGGTAAAGTTTAATAAGGTTTTTTCAAGTAATAAATATTCTAGTTTCTCCACTTCAACAAAGCATTCATAGATGATGTGATGGACAGTTTCAGCATTACTGTATTGCATTTAGGCCTAGTGCATGTATTTTTTCCCTCTTCCAATTTTGTAGAGTTTTTGTGGGAGGCATTCTAGGATAAATCTCCATGCAAGAATTGTTATTATCATACATTTTTTCCAAGTAGTTTTTCAACTGTTGTTTTCTTTTAAAAATTTTATTGTGTTATATTTTTTATTATGTTGTAGATTTGAATTAATTTAATGTTGTTTTTCATTTGGAGCATATTTTAATTTGATGTTTTGATTTATTTTAATATCATTTTCAATTTGTTGATGATTTTTGGAATTTCTGTTAGTGTTTATCTCCCAGGATATGGGATGAAGAAGATCCATTATTGATGTTTGCTATTTTTACATAGCATTTCTAAAGTAAAAAAAAGCTACTGATTAATGTAAGAAGAAAGGAACTGATCTGATCTCATCTGTTTTTTAAGATTATATTTGATTGGTGTTTGTAAGAATATATACTTGTAATTGTTTATTAAAAACTTGCAGATAATCCAGATTATTCAGATAAATAATTATAAAAAGAATGAAATTTTTAAAATAATTTATTCTACTTTCTGGTAAATAATTTCAAGATTTAATGAAATGGAAAAGCAGCAATATTAAGTAGTTAATATTATAAATATAAACATAACAATAGCTTTTTTAAGGCTAGCCTTATTATACCATTTTAGGAATGAATTAGGAATGAATAGGAATGAAACAAGGTATGAATTCAGTACATCACTTTTGTTAATGTTTTCTTTGTTGGTATACATTTCAAAGTTCTTCTTTGGCCAACTTCTTCTATTAGCATTAATAAAATTAAAACACAATCATTTTAAGTTTTATACATTGTCACTAATTGATATAAATTTATAACTTACATATACAGTAGAACCTCGAAAACTCGGCTCTCGATAACCCGGCACTCCGGATAACTCGGCCACACCCTGGCAGGGCAAAAAAATCCTTAGTTAATTAATTTTCATTATAGACAGCTTTATAAAAGTATAAAAGCTCTCATAAAGTATTTTTCTGAGGTCTGTCTTATCACGTAAATTACTGTACACAGTGTATTCATTAATTTTCATTTTCATGTAGTAAAGGTTCTATGCCTTCAT